TGCATATAAATAAGTTTTAAAATCATAATATTGTCTAAGAAATTGCTAAAATTAATTCTAACAATTCAGTTCCTTTTATCCATCAATTGTATGCTAGGTTGCATCTTTGCATACTATTTTATTGTTTTAGCATCGAGCCATAAACTATGCTACAAGTCCAATTTGTTAATTAAAAGACTCCCTCATACATCTAAAATTTAATTTAGAATCATATTATAGCACCCTAAATTGTCAAATTAAAATTAGACAATTTAACTTCCTTCCAGCAGTTAACCGCGCACAAGTTGTTAAATAGCGCACTGTTAATTGCATTAATACAAAGAGGGCATTTTATGCAATACAAGACCTTAATTACATCCTAAATTAATTATTGAAATCCCCATTAAAGTTTTAAAACTGTTCAGAAACCCCAAGAGCCTAAACAGTTTCTGAAAACTTACAGTACGCATCAAAATGGAAAGAGCCTGCTCTAAAAAAAAAATAGAGCAGGCTCAAACCAACATTGAGCCGGCTCCAAAAACTTTTGGAGCAGGCTCAAAGTGTTTGGAGCCGCCTCCAAAACATTTTGGAGCCGCCTCCAAAAAGGGAAAGCCCACTGTTCTGCTTCCTTCTTCGTTTCTGATGATCTGCTTCGACCCCGGCCACTTTCTACCCTTCAGTTGGTTTCTAAAATTGATCCTAAGGGTCTTATTAATACCAAATAGCATCCCAATGGTTTGGTTCGATAATTGGTTTTATTACAGTGATTTAAAACCTCTACCGATTCCTTATGCGTTAACATACAACTTGATCTTCAATTTGCAGACATAACTACAAGTAATACTAGAACATATACAGATAATCAAAACTGATCTTAACCATCTTATATATATTCCATGACATCCTAATCCCTTGTTTATAACAATACGAATTAAATCATTCATTAAAACAGAACCAATCTGTAAGCTTAAAATAAACCAAACACAAGTCATTTAAGAATTGTTTTAAACAACCATATACATACTGATAATCAACTTGACATATATTTCGCATGCCAGATTAGATTAAAATTCAATTAAAATCCTAGAGACATCTGGGTATGCATAGAACACAGGACAAAGGGATAGAGAAAGAATAGAACTTGCCTGTGATTTCAATTATGAAATCTCGGCGTTGTGTCCACTGTTTCGGCAACACGAACCTCTGTAAAGTCTCCTAGTGCTCTGGAATAGTCCACCAAAATCCCACCTTGGTCCCCTCTGTTCTTCTCTTTGCCACCCATACAATGTTCTATTCCTTCCACCTTCTGTTTTTACAGAATTATCTCCCCATTTTTGTGCTATGAGTTATAAGCGTAAACCCTAGACTACAACATAATGGTTGTATTTATAGACTTAAATTCTAAAATCCTAATCCTTGTAATAATAGAGACAGAGCCCTAATGTTACTCCAAGTCAGCCCATAAATCAACCAAGATGTATCCATGTCGGTTAAACACACTGTCTTCCTAGAGACCCTAGTTAACTAACCTAATAACCAAAAACTCATTTAACTTATTTATATCAAAATTAATAATTACTAAATTAATCCATTTAAACACACAAGTCAATTAATTTAATTAAAAAAAAATACAAATAAAGAAAACAATCTATTTAAATCAACCAATAAAATAAAAACAACAATTAATTAAAATAAAATCAAACAAATAACCAATTTGACACATAAGCACCTAGCCACAAAAGCAAATTAAAATTTCACACAAAATAAAATTTAAATTTAAATTTTATCCTTTAAAAAACTAGAGATATTACAGTTTAGTATATTTTTCTTTGTGTTAAAAAAAAAAAATTAATTAAAAAAAATAATAATAATAATTTGGAGATCAATCACATTCTTCGATAGAGAGCAACAAAAAAAATATCCTAAGTGGATTGATTCCCCAATCACGTGGATCGATCCCTTTTTACCTGCGCCTTCACTCTCTCGTTACACAGCAAAGTGTCACGGGCCTAGAGATTTGGCGCAGCGGCACGGCCCGTGCGGCACCAAGGCGTTGTTTCAGCTCGCGCAAGCGCCCTGGTCAGCCACCACGACCTGCCCTCCCAAGGATACATGCTGACTGGTTTCGGCCTGCCATGGCCTCGTCAGGGGAACGGCTCCAGCTCCCGACCAGTTTGTGCAGGGATGGCCAACTCCCTTCTTCATAGTCAAGTCCAAGACTAGCGACAAGCACCTCGAACTGAACCGAGTCGACCTGCCTGAACTCTGAAGAGGTACCATCCTGTGGTCCTGCACGCCCCTTCCCTGGAACCATTCCCAGTCAATGAATGTTCTTAGCCAACCAGCATGCGTGTCTTCTATGTTCATGGCGTCGTTAGGAATCGGATCGTGACATTCTCCCCCACCCAAATCCTGCGACGCCCTCGTCGCAGTGCGGCGCTGACTCCGCTGCGTCCAACTTTCCAAAGCCTGTCTCCTCCAAGTGGTATGCTCGCCTGCCCACCATCGCTTCCTTGTACAACCCCTGGCTGCACTCGCCCAATGATAGGGTTTCGGGCTAAAGGGACGCCCACTTCTTCGGGACGCAACCCCACGTTATGCCGCCTCCGCGACACCCCGAGCAAACAAGTGCCCTCCGGCTGACTTGATACCCGCCCTTCACAACGGTTTGCACGCCTCTTGAACTTGCAAGAACTTTGGTGCGCGCGGCCCTCCGGCCATCCGATGCGCGCGGCCCTCCGGCTTAAAGGACGCGTCTTCATGGGGAGATGGAGGCTCTCCTCCAACAGCATTGATTACCCACCGACGCTTTTTCAGTGCACCGTCTTCATTCTCAAGACCCCCGGATCGACAAGGGGGCACACCTTTGTGCTTTTCCCCAAGTCCTGCTCTGATACCATTTGTCACGGGCCTAGAGATTTGGCGCAGCGGCACGGCCCGTGCGGCACCAAGGCGTTGCTTCAGCTCGCGCAAGCGCCCTGGTCAGCCACCACGACCTGCCCTCCCAAGGATACATGCTGACTGGTTTCGGCCTGCCATGGCCTCGTCAGGGGAACGGCTCCAGCTCCCGACCAGTTTGTGCAGGGATGGCCAACTCCCTTCTTCATAGTCAAGTCCAAGACCAGCGACAAGCACCTCGAACTGAACCGAGTCGACCTGCCTGAACTCTGAAGAGGAACCATCTTGTGGTCCTGCACGCCCCTTCCCTGGAACCATTCCCAGTCAATGAATGTTCTTAGCCAACCAGCATGCGTATCTTCTATGCTCATGGCGTCGTTAGGAATCGGATCGTGACATTCTCCCCCACCCAAATCCTGCGACGCCCTCGTCGCAGTGCGGCGCTGACTCCGCTGCGTCCAACATTCCAAAGTCTCTCTCTTCCAAGTGGTATGCTCGCCTGCCCACCATCGCTTCCTTGTACAACCCCTGGCTGCACTCGCCCAATGATAGGGTTTCGGGCTAAAGGGACGCCCACTTCTTCGGGACGCAACCCCACGTTATGCCGCCTCCGCGACATGACAGAGAAGAGTCACGTCCTTGAGGAGTGGACGTCCCCTTGGTCCGAGGCCTATCATTGGGCGAGTGCAGTGCAGGGAGCTGCACAAGGAAGCGATGGTGGGAAGGCGAGCATACCGCATGGAGGCAGACTTTGGAAGGGAGTGGACGCAGTAGTGAAGCGCCGCACTGCGACGAGGACGTCGCAGGATTTGGGTGGGGGAGAATGTCACGAAGTGATTCCTAAGACGCTTGGAGGATGGAAGACACGCATGCTGGTTGGCAAAGAGCAGAGTTTGACTGGGAATGGTTCCAGGGAAGGGGCGTGCAGGAGCACAGGATGGTACCTCTTCAGAGTTCAGGCAGGTCGACTCGGTTCAGTTCGAGGTGCTTGTCGCTAGTCTTGGACTTGACTATGAAGAAGGGAGTTGGCCATCCCTGCACAAACTGGTCGGGAGCTGGAGCCGTTCCCCTGACGAGGCCATGGCAGGCCGAAACCAGTCAGCATGTATCCTTGGGAGGGCAGGTCGTGGTGGCTGACCAGGGCGCTTGCGCGAGCTGAAGCAACGCCTTGGTGCCGCACGGGCCGTGCCGCTGCGCCAAATCTCTAGGCCCGTGACAAATGGTATCAGAGCAGGACTTGGGGAAAAGCACAAAGGTGTGCCCCCTTGTCGATCCGGGGGTCTTGAGAATGAAGACGGTGCACTAAAGCGTCGGTGGGCAATCAATGCTGTTGGAGGAGAGCCTCCATCTCCCCATGAAGATGCGTCCTTTAAGCCGGAGGGCCGCGCGCATCGGATGGCCGGAGGGCCGCGCGCACCAAAGTTCTTGCAAGTTCAAGAGGCGTGCAAACCGTTGTGAAGGGCGGGTATCAAGTCAGCCGGAGGGCGCTTGTTTGCTCGGGGTGTCGCGGAGGCGGCATAACGTGGGGTTGCGTCCCGAAGAAGTGGGCGACCCTTTAGCCCGAAACCCTAACATTGGGCGAGTGCAGCCAGGGGTTGTACAAGGAAGCGATGGTGGGCAGGCGAGCATACCACTTGGAAGAGAAAGACTTTGGAATGTTGGACGCAGCGGAGTCAGCGCCGCACTGCGACGAGGGCGTCGCAGGATTTGGGTGGGGGAGAATGTCACGATCCGATTCCTAACGACGCCATGAGCATAGAAGATACGCATGCTGGTTGGCTAAGAACATTCATTGACTGGGAATGGTTCCAGGGAAGGGGCGTGCAGGACCACAGGATGGTTCCTCTTCAGAGTTCAGGCAGGTCGACTCGGTTCAGTTCGGGGTGCTTGTCGCTGGTCTTGGACTTGACTATGAAGAAGGGAGTTGGCCATCCCTGCACAAACTGGTCGGGAGCTGGAGCCGTTCCCCTGACGAGGCCATGGCAGGCCGAAACCAGTCAGCATATATCCTTGGGAGGGCAGGTCGTGGTGGCTGACCAGGGCGCTTGCGCGAGCCGAAGCAACGCCTTGGTGCCGCACGGGCCGTGCCGCTGCGCCGAATCTCTAGGCCCGTGACAAAAGGGACAATTTTTTGTAAAAAAATATCGATCCAGCAATAAAGGAGATCGAGCCCTTTAGCTTGCCCTTCCCATATCTCTCTAACCCTCGCTGCCTCACTCTTCCCTTATCACCCCTCCCCTCTCATATCTCACCATCGAGCACCACACTACCATCACCAGCTCCGGCCGAATCAAACCCACCCCAACCTCAGGCCGCCGTCTCTAACATTTCAAGCGCAACTTATGGTCACCGAGTTCGGGTTGTAGGTCTGAACAAAGAAATAAAAAAAAAAAACAAAGAAAAAAAACAGCAGCGGCGTCGCATCTGGGTCGTCTCTCCGGCGTCGCGGCTGGTTATTCTCCGGCGATCGCGGCTGCTTTCTCTCCGGCGATCGCAGCTGGGTTCTTTTCCGTATCGCAGCTGTTTATCTTGCCGGCATCGCGGCTGTTCGTTGTTCTTCTCCGGCGTCGAGGTTGAGTCTTTCCAGCGCCAGCTAGGTTCTTTTCCGGCGAGCTTGTGGGTCGCCATTCTCCGGTGATTTTTGGCTGGGTTCTTCCGGCAAGCTTGTTGGTCACCATTCTCCAGCGATTTTGGCTGGATTCTTCTCTGATTCCGGTTGGTTTTCAGCGATTTTGTCTGGCTTTCTCTCCGGCGATTTTATGGGTAAGTGCTGATTTTGAAGCATTTAATAAAAAATTTGAAGCAATTAAATTTTTTTTGGGTAAGTGCTGAGTGTATGGTTGTTGTTGGCAGTGGTCTGAATGGTTGAATTGTTGATTGGGTCCTCTTTTGCATGTGAATTGCGTTGTTGATTTGGTTCCCTTTGTAATTTACATTGATGATTAAAAACAAGGTTTCATTGATGATATAAAAAAAAAAAAAAAAAAAGGCAACAAAAGGGTTTCATTGATTATTAAAAAAATAAAAAAATGTTTCATGTGAATTTTGCGGATTAATTGATTTAGATTTTGGTTTGTCATTGCAGTAGCGTTGTTACGCTTGGTTGAATCTGTCGTTCACTACAAAGTAGATGTTGCCAGTCTAAAAACTTTTTACTGCAAAGCCTGAACTAATTCCCATTTATTTCTCTCTTAAAAAAATGACTGGTGTTTCTTCCTCCAAACGTTTCAAACTCTCTAAAGAGACTCCCAAAGCCACGTGGCGTACCAAACGTCTGGATTTTGAGACTACCTTCGACATTGAAGGTACGTTTTGCCACAATAACACGATTGAATGGGCAGTGTTAGAATTTGATAGGAGGCGTTTGTCCTGCCTTTTTAGACCAGCTGCAGAGGTTGCATATCCCCGTATTGTGCTCTTGTTTTATCAGAATATGGAATGGTTTAGTGATGTGTCAGAAATATTAGCTACAACCATTGATGGTGTCCGAATTCACTTTGGTGTCTTAAACATAGCCCAGGCATTGGGGTGTCCACATTTTTGCCCTACTGACTTGCTAGCAGAGAATGGGGAGCTACGTTTTGGCAAATTCTTGGAAAAACCTACTGTGCATTCTATTGTTAAGGATATGTGTGACGGGAAGTATGGTGACAAGAAGAAGAAGAATTGTGCCAGCAAGTCCTCACTACCTAAGGATATGTGGTTTTTCGATCAGGTTCTGAAACAGAATGTTTTTCCAATAGGTCATAAGGTACAGCGGGGGCAAGAGTTCTTAATAGCTTTGTATGCTACCCACACTGGAGCATGATTTTATGTTCCAACTTTCATCTTTAACCAAATGCATAAATATTAGAAGCATTTAGTGGCGAGTGGGGATTCGAATGTGAAAAAATGGAAACTTCCGTTTTCATATCTTATTACCTAGCTCCTTGTCCTTTGGCGCTTCGTGGTTGATAGTGATGAGATCTCTGAGGCTCAAGGGATGACTTTTGGGCTAGCACAGTGGAACTTAAGCCTTTCTCATATGCCTAGTGCTAAGAAGGAAGGTGATGGCATGACAGCAGGTGATAGAGAGGATCTGAATGCCCTGGTTGAGGACGTCGTTGGGAGGTCTGAGGAGTAGATTGCTGATGGTGCTAGTTATGAGATAGCACAGGCTGTGTCACCACATGCAGAGGAGTCTGTAGGGGTGACTAGGACAGAGTTCAATGCCATTGTGGGGCAGTTGAGGACCGAGTTGGTTGAATTTGAGGAGCAGCGTCGAGTTGAGCATGCTGAGCTTATACAGCAGCACACCACTACCCAACGCATGCTACGAGATCTATATGAGATTGTTTCATGAAGTCTCCCACGCATTTCTACATTGCCACTTGATGTATGATTTCTCTTGTCTATGTTAGGCTGTTTAGAATTTTCTATTTTGAGTGGATGGGATTTTATGTGGTTATAGCCAGATTTTTTGTGATTTAGAGTTGGCTATTTTGGGAACCTGTAATTCTGAGTTTTGACGATATATTTTGGTTTCATTCATTCATATATGATTGCTTTTGGCTTTTGTTGCTCATATTCATATAAAAAAAAAAAACAAAAAACAATACTAAATAAAAAAATAATGAAAATAAATAAATAATAATAAAAAATTAAAAATTGCAAAGTATCATTTCGTCTTGCTAGAGACGTTAAATTTAGCCATTTTTTTTATTTTTTATTTTTTATTTTTATTTGTAGGTTGTATATACATGTTCTTTTTCTTTGTTTCTTTTACAATAAAAATAAAAATAAAAAAAACAAACAAAATAAAAAATAAATAAAAAACAACCAAAAGTATGTGTTACTAGTATGCCTTTATGACTGGTTATGAATGTTTTAAAATTTTATTAAGGGTTTCATCTCATATCTCTTTGCATTGTGTTATCTATTATTTTGAACTGTATGAATTGCTTATCCCATATAATATTTGATGTGAGTTTGCTAGTATGGTTATACAGCTAGGTTTTTGAATCCAAGTTTGGGGGAGACATCTTTCCTACTGGATCATTACCGGATTTCATAATCTTTGCCATCACGGTATACTCTTTCCATTATTTTTCATTATTCTCATTGCACATTGAGGACAATGTACAATTTAAGTTTGGGGGTAAGGTCATCATGATTCATTTTATTTTAAGTTAAGCTTTAAATGCATAATGAGATTTGAGATGCGTTTAGCAATGATTTCAAACTTTTAAAGTATAGTGCCTTTGAAAAGCAAGTTGTTAGCGTCTAATACTTCTTGTATGCTCTAGGATGCCATTTAGGGGTAAATTTTTAATTTTTGATATCATATTTGCTCTTATGGTACACATCATCTTGTTAGTTGAAAATGTTTTGAGAGTTAATTCTAGAATTCTACACTTGCACTTGCGCACACTAACATTCAATTTGTGGGGTACATGCTTAGTTGATTATTGTCTTGGTTTATCCCAATTGAGTTAGTATGCTTTGAAAGTTTTCATTTTTGATAAAATGACCTTGCAAAAAAAAAAGAAATAAAAGCACACACCAAAGGTGACAAAAAAAAAAAAAAAAAAAAAAAAAAAAAAAAAAAAAAACCTGCATTCTTTTAACATGTCAACTGATTAAAAAGGAAGACAAGGAAAGAATGTAAGATGTATAATTAGTTTGAGTTCGTAACCTAGCCATTCCGAGTCATTACGCCCTTAGGAGTGTCTTTACACTTAACGCCCTAAGACCATTTAGTTTGGGAATCGTTGGCTCAACCCTTGTTACATGGGGTGATTAGAGAGCTTAAGGAACTTGCACATTGCACATAGTCATACATTAAAAAAAAAAAAAAAATGAAATCAATAAAAAAAAAAAAATGTTTGATTGAATTACAAGGTTCATTCAATGTCTTGAGGATTGGTACTATATCTGTATGCTAATTTGAGGTAAGGCTATGCCATTACTTTAATTTGCATTTTGATGCTGGTTCACTCAAAAAGGATGATAGAATTGATTCAATTTGCATGATTAACTTGCTTGATGTGTGGAGGACTATTTTTACTTACATGACATTAAAATGTTGAGAATAGCTTAGAAATGACAGAAATTTGCATATTTGAAGTAGTCTACTTTTAACATTTGTTTGATATGTGTCGTTACTTCTCAAGTAAGAAAGAGTTGTTGATGTTTGTGGGTATCATTTTTAGAAACCCTCACGAGACTTCACTCGTCCACTAGGGGTAACTTAGGGGTTTAAAAGGCTTGTTGCATATGCTAAATGTAACCGTGATCCCTACGAAAGTGGTGTTATCTTTATTTGCTTTATTAGTTCATAATCGCTTATATGTTTTTTTCATTCTCATATACTGTAGTTCATTGTTAGGGACTAGCAATATCTAAGTTTGGGGGTGTGATAAGTGCTTAAATGCTGCACATTTCAGCACTTAAATTAGGGTATTTTAGTTATTGCATCTATTTTATTTTTATGTTTTAGCTCTAATTTATGTTTTTGTCAATTTCAGGTCAATAAGGTTCAAACAGACTAATTTTGGTTCACTAAAGCCTTTTTGGAGTCAAGCAAAAACATTCAGAAAAAGTTCAGAAAATAGCAAAAAGAAGTCGCAGCCCATTGCTCGTATAGTGTGTTTATTCTTCAAAAGTGGTCAATCTCAGGCCTTTGATGATGTTCCCAAAGATGAAGAAACAAACCAATTAGCCTGGGGCCAAAAATGGAGCTAAATAAGGCTTAAAGGAAATTTCCAACTCTGGGGGATCGATCCCCCACTATTCACAGAACTAAAAATGCCCTTGGGGATCGATCCTCAAGCCTGTGGGATCAATCCCCTAATACCTGGCAGCATTACGGGATTTTCTTATTTTGGGCTTTTTTTTGTAACTTATGGGCTTTAACAGGGTTTGTTACTTAAGACCCAGTGAGCCATTAGTTTAGGGTTAGTTTTTATTTTATTTAAGGAGTTTTTAATTTATTAATTAAAGGAGGATTTTAGGTTTTATTTTTTCTGTATCGATATATTCTCTCTAGAAAAGCACGCGAAAGAGGAGAAACAAAGAACGGGCTAAGGTTTGGAAGAGGAAGCTCAGAGATGATGAAGGAGATGATGGGATTGTTCCGTTTTCGATTCCGTCAATCATGAGTGGCTGATTCTTCTACTTAGGGTTGGATAAACCCTAAGCATGTAACCTAATCTCTCTCTTTTCACTTTTTGGGGATGAATTTGTGTAATTAGTGTATAGCCTTGAATGTTTATGAATAAATTTTTTCATTTGGTTATCTATGTCAGTATCATGTTGTCTTATGTGTGTTTGATTGTTAATTAAGTTCTACACTTGAATTCTTTGTTAATTGATTCTTGTGATGGCTATACATGGTATTAATTAAATGTAATCGTGTTTAAATTGATGAAAAATTACTTTTATTTGATGGATGACAATATATGTTTAGGTTAATTTATTGTCTAATTAGTTTTAAATTCATGTTTAATTAGTTTAATTAATTTAATTGCAATTCAATTATTAGGTAAGTAGACCATCCATACTTATGTTTGAATTCCATACTTTTTGTCACAATTGCATTATCTTTTAGATTAATGTAGGCTAGAATTGTAACTTGAATTGATGGATCATTCTTTGGATTGGTGAATTGCACTACACTTAGGTTATTTGTTATTAGGTAGGCAATTCAGGCTTGAAATTGATGCTTCATACTTTTCTTTGCAAGTATTAGTTACATTAGAATTACACTTAATTATTTCCCCAATTAGTTGAAAGTGAGTGAGTTAGGGAATGTGCTTAGTGGTGAATCCTACACCCTAAGTGTCTTTCCAATCTTTTAAACTCCATTATTTTATTGCAATCATTTAGCTTAAAATTAGTCTAATCACAAAACCAAACCTTTTTAGTAATCACATAAGCACTAAAGTAGAATTCAATTCTGAAAAACCTATAATTGTTTAGATCTCTTGGGACGATCCCTGCTCACTTCATACTTCATAGTATAAGTGTTTAGTGGTTTTATAAATTTTAAAATATGGTGCTCACTTGACATTATTTCTAAACCTAAAATGTTGTGAATTATTTTGTGCACACGCTTGGTCGCACCACTCTCTAAAAGGCTCTCAAGACTCACTCTAGGACTTGATGGCTACAAAATGAAGTCCTACTCCTATTTATAAGCTTCCACATCCCTAATGAACGACTAAGATGCATTCTAATCGATGGTGGAAATCGATTCTCTAGAATCTTCTCCAACATTCTTTACACTTCCACACACACACACACACACACACACACACACACACACACACACACATATATATATATATATCTATATCTACAATAGTCTAGAACTATCCATACTACTCCACACAACTCTCTGGAGAACTCTCAAACCTTCCACACCCTTCTATAATATTCTACACATATCTAGAATTTTCCACACAACTCTAGACCATTTTGGAATACTCTAGAAACTCCTCTCGCCATGTAGTTGTCATGCAGCGTCCTACTCAGTGCCTACATGTTGCCTACGTGGCATAATCTTTATAAGCGGGGTGTAACATTCTCCCCCACCCATTTCCATAACGTCTTCGTCACGGTTTCTTCAACTGACCCAGCCTCTCATAGGTCATCAACACTTGTGCATATCTCCTTGGCCTAAACGTATGTGCGCCCTTCGGGAGGTGTGAGGTCCTCACGAGCTCCATTATGTTGACTGCCACCTTTAGACTCTCCTTCATGCCCACAAACGGCACCATGCATGTGGCTTTGCCTTCTTCGCCTCCAAGTATCATCAACGCACCAAGGCATGGTATTGGCGCGTCGTTGTTCCTGTCCATGAACTCCAAGCCTAATACCATGTCATCCATCTCCGCAACCTGGAAGTCGGCCTTGCCCTTCCACCCTTGCATGCATAGTTCCATCTCTTTGCACACTCTGCTCACGCGTGCTTCCTCAGAGTTGACAGCTTTGATCCAGCACTCCGTCTTGCGCATCTCTAAGCCAAGTCGTTGCACCTCTTATAGGGTAATGAAGTTGTGTGTGGCGCCCGTGTCCACCAACGCTTGCACGGTTTCGCCACCAATCTGCGCATACGCATAGAGCACCCCAACTACCTTTTTCGCCCTACCCTTCTTCTTAGTGTCATGCGCCATGTGATACCCCTCGATTCTAGAGTCACGGGTGATCAAGTCCGAGCACAGATCTGAGGGATACCAGACAATTAATATGTAAACAAGCAGAAATACAAAAGAATTTAATGAATAAATAATAAAGGCTGAAAAGAATTCTAAATATTAAAATCCTCAAAAGTTAAAACCAATAAAATCCAAACTTTCCAATATACATACAACTTGGGAATCCATCTAGTGGACCCATAATAAAATCCCAATGGAAAGTAAAGTACGGAAACAAAATCCAAAACAAAAACATGAAAAGTAATCCTACGTAGTCGAAGGAGTGAGTGATTGTATCTGCTCAGCACGATCAAGCTCTAATCCTGGAACTGACGAACACCTGGAAAAAAAAAAGAGTGGGTCAAGCCCACTAGCAAGTTCTACTCTACTACAATCCATATAGAGACCCGATACGCAGGTACATCCTAGATAACTCAGTAATAACTAAAGTAGTCCATATAGATATAAATACACACTATAGGACGCTCACTAGCCCACAGGTCTGTCTCAGCCTGAGTAGAAGGTAACATGCAAATCGCACATCATGGTAGGCATGTATACCTAGACCTACCAGGGAATATCAATTAGGTCCAGTTATCCATCCTAGGCGATATACGCACCCTAACCATGATCCTGAGACTCAAGCTTATATCACGATACCATAAGTATATGTATAAATAATTTATCTAAAACAAGGTATGTCATTGAACTGTTTATTAACCTGATATAAATATAAGTAGGACTTAACTTTTATAGTTAATCCAACTTATTTTAGAATAGGTAGGACTTAGTGTTTTGAAACTAATCCATCCCCAGAATAGGTAGGACTTAGTGTTTTGAACTAATCCATCCCTAATATGCCACCGTCTTATACCGGTGCATATACATATATATAAGTAGGACTTAACTTTTATAATTAATTCAAGTTATTTTAGAATAGGTAAGATTTAATGTTTTGAACTAATCCGTCCCTAATATGCCACCGTCCCATATCGGTGCATACAATTCGCAAATCAAATGATTGATGCAGTAAATGATAAATTTAATCATCAACCATACTCCAACATAAGCATAAATAAAGTCTAATATGTATATGACCATATCCACTACAAGATTTACAAAACATGTTCCAGTCCTTTAAATTGTTAAAATAAGAGTAAACATTTAAATCCTTCAAATAGTTCAATAATTGATGCAATATACAATAAATTAAAACATCAATTAATCCAGTTTAAGCATAGTTATTTTCAGATAATCAACTACACTTGTAACCCTGCTGAAACATGATTAACACTATTAAATCATATAGAAAATATTTGTTAAATACAAGTAAGAAGTTAAATTAATCATTCAATACTCAACATGCAGGTTTTCTGTTTAATTTCATATTGTTTCACTCCTAAGCATACTAACATAACCATGCTTCCAAGTATTTTTAAATGTCTAAAACAATTATTTAGACCACTAACTACAATTTAAAACAATTCCAGAATACCCCAATCGGCCAAACAAAGCTCAAACCACGGAAAACCAAAAAAACTGGAAAGGGAGCCGCCTCCCAAAATAAGGGAGCCGGCTCTCCCCCATGGGGAGCCGGCTCTAACCCTTATGGAGCCGGCTCCACCCTTGTGAGAGCCAGCTCTCTCATCCCTAGAGACGGCTCCCTCCTTTGGAGAGCCAGCTCTCTCCATCTGAGAGCCGTAATCTGATTTCCGATCCTCTTCCTCGTCTCTGGTGGTATTTAAACCCTTCTGTAATAACCTATTACGATTTCTAGAAGTTCAATCTATGTCCCAAAGATCTCAGAACCTCATAAAAAAATTCCAATATGCATCGTTAGCAAGAAAATAAAACAATTAACAGAAACAATCTGTTTTTTTTTTTTATTTTTAAAAATCAGTTTCAATTTAACAAATTATAACATAGATTAAAGTTTGATGTAACATGCATACCAAATCCGTTTTAAAGTCTGATTAAGTCCTAAAGACTATCTAGCATGCACAGAACACAGGTCTAAGGGAAGGAATTAGAATAGGAACTTGCCTTTGGTTTCAGTTTTGAAACCTTAAACCATCGTCTCTGAGTTTTCTAACAAATTCCTAGACTGCCGTTCAACACCTCTGTTACTCTTGGTTCAATCTAGAAGCAATCCCTTCCTTCCTCCTTGAGCCTCATTGGTTTTCTCTCAAGTCTCTCTCTGTTTTCCTCTCAAGTTTTAATGTACGTGAATAGGGTTTTCCAACCCTAGACAGACTTATACGGTTATATTTATAGGCTTAGGAAAACACAAACCCTAATACGAATTATATTGAGAGAAGGAGAAATAAAACAACTAAGTCTATAACCAAATCAATTAAACCAAACATGACTACCTAAACGAACATAAAACCCTAATTAAACACTTAATGAAAACAAACAATTAAATTTCCACATAAGTATACATTAATGAAAAACAAATAATTAAAACACATAACTCAATTAAATAAAACAACAAATAATTAAAACACATAACTCAATTAAATAAAACAATTAATCAAAGAATTTAATTAAATAAAAATAATTAACAAATAAGCAAAGTAAAAATGCAATAAAACAATTAATTAAATGTCGAGGCTATCCTTTTAAAATTAGGAGTATTACACGCCATGCTACTCAGCATCTTCATAACCCCCATGCACCTGTCTTCGTCGTTGTCCGCATCGTCCATCTTGCCCTTGCCTTTATCATTCACAAGGGCACTCATGGTCTTCTTTTTTGGGGCAGTGTCACAATATGTGCTGTCCATCACACAAGTAGCACTTCGGCTCCCATTTGCCCTTGTCACGGCATTCCTCTTTGCTACTAGGCTTGGACCTCTCCCAATGGTCCTTACCCTTGTCATGTCATGGGTGTCTCTCCTCATCGCTGGATTTGGCTGAGTCGCCTTTCTTGGAACGCCGGTCTCCCTCACCTTTGCAGTGGTCCTTCTTAGGAGACGTGGCCCTCTTGTCATTACGCCTAAAGTGCTCAAGTCATTCCACTATAGCCATTACGGATGCCAAGTCTCTAGGCTCCTTTCTCCTAAGCTCCGTGGCCACCCAAGACTGTAGACCATCTATGAACAAGCACACGCGTTGCCACTCCGGCATCTCTGGGATTTCTATCATCAAGTTGGAGTACGCTTTCACATACTCCCTTATGATGTCCTTCTGCTTCAGGCGCCTTAGGTTGATCATGGTGAGGTCCTTGACGTACTCAAGGTAGAACTACCTCTTGAACTCCTCCCATGTGTCAACCGCTCTTGGGCCCCTATCTGTGAAATGCTGTCTCCACCATAGAGCGGCAGTGTCCGTGAGGTACATAGTGCCAGTCTGCACCTTCTCCTCATCGTCCTTAATGTCTATGCACTCGAAGTACAGCTCCATGTGCTAGAAGAAGTTGTCAATCTTACGCGCATTCCTTACCCCATCATACTCTTTGGGCTCCGACGCCTTCTTCTTCCTTGGCTTCACCACGACCTCGCAAGCCTGGAAGAACTCCTTCTTACACTCGGCAATCTCCATGCGCAAGTCGTCTACACGATCATACAAGTCCCTTTCCTTTTATCCCACCTTGATGACCATTCTGTCGATCAGCTCGTAGAGTTTTGCAATTTTTCTCTCGAGCCTGTTGAACTTAGTCTCCGTGTAGACCAAGTGTGTGGTGAGCTTCTCTTCCAAGCTCTGCTCCATAACGTGGACTTAGTGGTCTCCTTCACTAGCCATATTTTACTCCAACAAAGCTCCCTTGACGAGTTTGCTCTAATACCAATTGTCACGGGGCTAGAGTTTCAGCACCACTTTAGCCAAACCCGTGCGGCACCAAGGTGTTGCTCCTACTCGCGCGAGCAATTGGTCAGCCTAACTACCGTGCACACCTTAGCTAACACACTCCTCTCGCGTGCTTACTAATGTTATAGTGGCCCTCACCCTCACCTTCACTTGGCTTCCACACTCAGACACACTAAGGCACTTACGTTGGCAAGGAAAGAATACTTCTATTACTTCAAAGAATGCTTTATACAAGGCTAGCTCTCAAACTCTCTATAAGGCTCTCAAGATTCACCCTAGGACTTGATGGCTACAAAATGAATTCCTACTATTATTTATAGGCATCCCCATCCCTAATGAACTGTTAAGATGCATTCTAACCGACGGTGGAGATCAATTCTCTAGAATCTTCTCCCACCTTCTTCACACTTTCATATATATCTACAAAATCTGTAACATTTTAGAACTCTCCATACTACCCCCACATAACTCTCTGGAGAACTTTAGAACCTTTCACACACTTTTACAATATTCTACACATATCTAGAATCTTCCACACAACTCTAACAATTCCAGAAGACTCTAGAAACTCCTCTCGCTATGCAGTTTCCATGTAGCGTCCTACTTAGCGCCTGCGTGTCGCTTGCGTAGCGTAACCTCCATAGGCGGGGCATGACAAAACACTCCCTTTTCTTGAATCGATGGTTATTGATTAGTGATATAATCTCTCAGCTGAGTCAACTCACGATACCATCCCTACCATTAACCTCTATACCAACATATATTTAGAAACATTAAATTAGAAACCAAAGTAACAATTGGAATAAGAAGAAGTTGGCCTCTGCTGACCTTAGTAACTTCTGCACTTGTCATATATATTTGTATATTGTTACATGCCTTTACTCGCTAGAATTGTTGAATCCAACATCATGTGTGTGTGCATGTGTGTATTATTATGTAACGATAAGTGTCGAAAGATGCACATCTTGGCCCTTATTCTTGTATATGTTAGCACCTTATTTCTATATTTATTAATCTTTTTAGTTCTAATTTGTTTTGTTTCCGATTTTAGATGCTTAAGCTTCAAATCTAGCGCTTTAAAGCTTCAATAAGATCTTAGAGATGAAGGGCAGTTGAAAGGAAGCTTAGGTGCAAAGATTAAGGAACGTGATCGATTACGAGGGATCCTTCATTGTTTACGACGCAATCAATTGCTTCTTAAACATAAACGTGATCGTTCGCGTTCGCGGGAAGTTCTCTTCAACTTTAGATCTTAAGTTCTATTCAAGGGGACTCTGTGGTGCATTGATTACATGAGCCTTGTATGTGAATCTGACCATTTTGGCAGCCCTAGAGTCAAGTATAAACAGGAAATGCAAGCCCTATTAAACCATTTTTTTAATTAAATTGATTTGGACAAAAGCTTGAGCTCTCTCTCTACACTTTCTCTCTCTAGGGTTTGATCTCAAGGATTGGAGAAGAAAGCTTTGGCAATGTTAGGAGATGAAGATTGAAGCTTCAAAGATGATCCTCACCATCTCCATGGCTAACTAGCTTCCTTCTTAGGGCTTAGATAAAGCCCTAAGCCATGTCATTGTATCATTTACCTTCAATTTGGGGATTTTATATTTGTGTATAAATTGTATAATTTGGTAGATTGAACTTAGTTGTCCCAAGTCAATTGGTGTTTTAATGCTTTAATCAATCTTTTTGTGATGTTTATATTGTCTTATATCTTGATTATGGTAGATTGATCTCAATATTCTTACTTTTTGTAATTGTGTGAATAATAATTATACAATGGTGCTAACTAGATATAATTGCATACAACTTGATGATTCATGCTTAGTTTTGATGAATTGTACTACAATTGTAGAATAGATGTAGTTATGTAGACAATCCATGCTTAGCTTTGATGATTTATGTTTGTTGATGATAATTGTAGCATTCTTTTGATCTCAATTGTGTGCTTGTAGCCACAATTCTTTTATGGACAAGTAATCTCCCCATTTTGATTGCATTGGTATAACTGCAAGGTTTAGAGGTGAATTCCATGTCCTAAGTCTCTCTCTCTCTCTCTTATCTTATCTTATCTTGTTCATTACTACTCACTTCATTGCATTCTATATAGCTTTAATTCTAGTTGTTAATTAGAATCAAACAAACATCACTTCTATTGTATCATTTGTTCACTAATTGGAAATCGAATCAAGCCGATAGTCCTTATGGACGATCCATACTCGTTATACTATATAGTAGTAGTGGTTTTTACAAATTTAAAATTAATTTCTCGAACTTCTATAACCACGTTATCAAATTGGTCGTGAGAGCAACACCAACTTTTGGCGCCATTGCCAGGAATTACGATTCAATTGATTCAATTTGAAATTAGTGATCATTTGATTGTTAGTTTAGGATTTGTTAATAGTTATTTTTCTCTTACTTTTGATTTGCGTTCAATTCTAGGTACTTGACCGAGAGAAGCAAACTTAGAGCTCGAAGCATTTGCTTGAGACCTTTGTGAGCGTATCTTGGATTCTTGAATTTATAGTTGTGCATCTTTTTAGTTTAGTTTTAATTCTATTTTGGATAGTACTTGTTGAGGCTATCATTGCTTTTATTTTTCTTGTTCAAGCATCGTTACTTGTCAAGCCCATTTACTTTTGCATTTCATTATTGTTGATTTGAGGAGGACGGGATCAATGTGCTTTAGCGGAGTGGTTGAAATTGTTGTGATTTGTGTTATTGTGATAAATGCACGGTAGGAGATCCTTAAACAATTCTCTTGACCAACCCACAGGAGCCTCAGGACCCCAAAAAATGCATGTGATGTGTTAATACATATGTTGAGGGCACTTCCATAGTGCAGCCTCCCAGAAGGTTAGATCTACACAACTTTATTCCCACATTCGAGAGACTATCTCCTGTAAAACGAATTTATCACAACAATAGAGTAGCATAGTGTCACGAAGTGATTCCTAAGACGCTTGGAGGATGGAAGACACGCATGCTGGTTGGCAAAGAGCAGAGTTTGACTGGGAATGGTTCCAGGGAAGGGGCGTGCAGGAGCACAGGATGGTACCTCTTCAGAGTTCAGGCAGGTCGACTCGGTTCAGTTCGAGGTGCTTGTCGCTGGTCTTGGACTTGACTATGAAGAAGGGAGTTGGCCATCCCTGCACAAACTGGTCGGGAGCTGGAGCCGTTCCCCTGACGAGGCCATGGCAGGCCGAAACCAGTCAGCATGTATCCTTGGGAGGGCAGGTCGTGGTGGCTGACCAGGGCGCTTGCGCGAGCCGAAGCAACGCCTTGGTGCCGCACGGGCCGTGCCGCTGCGCCAAATCTCTAGGCCCGTGACAAATGGTATCAGAGCAGAACTTGGGGTAAAGCACGGTGGGGTGCCCCCTTGTCGGTCCAGGAGGGGTCAGAGAATGAAGACGGTGCATTGAAGTTGCGTCGATGTGGAGGAATCAATGCAGTTGGGGGGGAGAGCCTCCATCTCCCCAGGAAGAGGCGTCCGTTGAAGTTGCGCATTGAAGGGCCGGAGGGCCGCGCGCACCAAAGTTCGTGCTTAGTCCTTGGGTGATGCAAACCATGGTGAAGGGCGAGCATCAAGTCGGCAGAAGGCCATTGCTTGCTCGGGATGTCGCGGAGGCGGCATGACGGAGAAGAGTCACGTCCTTGAGGAGTGGACGTCCCCTTGGTCCGAGGCCTATCATTGGGCGAGTGCAGTGCAGGGAACTGCACAAGGAAGCGATGGTGGGAAGGTGAGCATACCGCATGGAGGCAGACTTTGGAAGGGAGTGGACGCAGTAGTGAAGCGCCGCACTGCGACGAGGACGTCGCAGGATTTGGGTGGGGGAGAATGTCACGAAGTGATTCCTAAGACGCTTGGAGGATGGAAGACACGCATGCTGGTTGGCAAAGAGCAGAGTTTGACTGGGAATGGTTCCAGGGAAGGGGCGTGCAGGAGCACAGGATGGTACCTCTTCAGAGTTCAGGCAGGTCGACTCGGTTCAGTTCGAGGTGCTTGTCGCTGGTCTTGGACTTGACTATGAAGAAGGGAGTTGGCCATCCCTGCACAAACTGGTCGGGAGCTGGAGCCGTTCCCCTGACGAGGCCATGGCAGGCCGAAACCAGTCAGCATGTATCCTTGGGAGGGCAGGTCGTGGTGGCTGACCAGGGCGCTTGCGCGAGCTGAAGCAACGCCTTGGTGCCGCACGGGCCGTGCCGCTGCGCCAAATCTCTAGGCCCGTGACAATAGGCTCATGGTTGGGAATGCTAATATCAAATAAAGGGTACTGCAACCTTGTAATTTCACGAGACGAAAAGAAAAAAAATAAATAAATAAAAATAACCTAGAACGATACTCAGATTCAGCGGAAGAGGAGGGTGTAACAGTGAATTGGCTTCAAGCCTCTCGACAACTTGCCCAATTAGAATCACAATTTGGTGATAGTAACTGCAGACTACTTATGGACTATAGTAAAATTCATTGTCCTATGGTCCCCTTTATGATAATATAGTTCCCATGTCACTAGGACCCAAGTCCTTAATCTGAAAATGCTAGCTGATATGACATCCTTGCCCACAATAATTTGTTATCAACATAGAGACATATAGGTGCATGAGCTTTCAGTTTTGATTCAACAAAACCACTTCAGTGAATCAGTTAGGAGACAAAACAGTCAAAGGGTTGTAATTTGAAGTGTAACAGAGAAGATAGAGGGGTAAAAGAAATTATTCTTAATTAGCATTTGATAGAAGAATAAGAAAATATTCTAATTATTGTAAACATACCAATCAGAACATTCAGTAATATTAGCTAAGAAATACAGATAAATTTTAGAATAACCTTTCATTTAACATTCAGTAATATTAAGTTTTTGTACCATAAACACAAATCTTTTTTCAAACAAAGTCAGTGTATAAATTGTTCAAACTGAAATCATGACAAGATGATAGCATTGATTATGAGACAAGATAGAGTATGAATGTCGGTTCTTTGAGTAGATCCCTTGGCCTTTTCCATTACTCGTTTATCTGCAGAGATAGATAATCTCTTAACGCTCATCACAATACATGATCAAATCCAAATTTTTTTTTTTTATTTTTTTATTTTTTTTATTTTTTATGTTGAAGTTTGTATATTTTGCTGTTATGTTGCACTAAATAATGTGTCAAATTCAATTTCAGAGTTCATTTCTAATTGTTTCTTGTTTGTCTTTTGATTAGCTTGTGTAACAATTCTGTGGATAAAATTTGAAACCATTGATAGTTTATCAAGCAAATTTTTTTTCCTCCTTGGTTGACCTCTTATTACCTAATCTATGGCTTATTTGAAATGATTCTCAACTAAAATCCACCTATGACAGGAATTTAATATGTTTAGAATTGCTTGTTATTAGGGTTCTTGGGTTCGTTTGCTAAGGAGTAGACCTTAGGCCAAAAAAATTGATGACTGACATAAGGTTCAAGGAATCGGATTCAGAACATCATGAAGCACTAAAGACTCGGCTAATCAAATCCCTCTCAAATCGCTTAACCAAAAATTTATAGGGATCAATAATATGCCATTTAGCTACTCAGCTTCCACCATCTCATCCGTGAAAAGCTCTAGCCTATTAAGTATCAGCTAATTTCGTTAGAGAACCCAAGACACGCTAGAGAGTTATGCAAAACTGCATTAGAAAAACTATAGGCCGAGGGATCTTGAAACCAAGTTTAGAGCATTTCTTATAATGTACCTTATGAAATTCATGTGCTTTCTATTTCAAAGACAATTCCCAACTATCTCATTCTCTATAGTTACTTTACCCCCATAAAGTACAATCTAAGGGACTCATAAGAGAAATAACAAAAACATCAGTAAATAGAATATACATCAACTACAGACCAGATGTTCAGTGGTACTGTGAGGTGCAATTATCATGGTTTTTGTAGTGGCCTCATGGGTTACATGGCAACATCTAAAACCAGTCTGTAATCGAACTGTATTAACATGCATGTCTATAGGCCCATTAACATGAACATGAAGAACAACTATGTGCAGATTATTATAAAATCCCACAGCAGCTTAATATTGAAGCAGAACTGAATTAAATTAGCAATCTTCCGGTAAGATGTCTGCAATTTAGTTTATCTACGCTTAAAATTGTGAATATTAAAAAGATCTGGCAAAGTCAGAGTTGCACAGAAGATAATAAATCATTCAACTAAATGTGTGCATGATTAACGAAAGGGGTGCACAAAATCTCCAAGCTTTTTGTAGTGAAATCAAATAAATACTTACCAAGAAATATCAAATTACGATCATAGCAATCCAAAAAAAAAAAAAAAAGTTCATAAAGACCTAATTCGAAAAGGTGGTGGTGTGAGAGAAGATGGTGGAAATGAGAGCAAGTAAAAGAACAGGGATGTGAAAGCCACTTCAGTTAGGGAGTAGATATTCTACAACTGATATGTCCCACTCTTACCTTTATAATCACTACCATGTAATTTTGAAAGGTCCAATTTTGCTTGATATAGTTTCAGCAACTGAGGAGCTTCCTCATAACAGGTCACAAACTTCTTGAGGAACAAGCTCTCTGTGCGTAACAAAGATGACATTGCACTACTGGGATTCTTAATCAAACCTTTCGACATCAAAACTTTAAGTACTGAACACCTGGGAATTATCCTCTTACCCAAGCTCATTGACATTAATTTTGGACGATGGGCAATTAGGGAAGACACCCAACCCATCGTGTTGGCATAAAAATTCAGCGATGCCATTATCTTCTCCTCGGATACCGTCATGCACCACGGATCTTTTGCAAAAGCCAACATTGTTTCTTCCTCAGACCAACCACACTTCTCATAAACCTCCATCTTCCTTTTCCATGTTGATTTGCTCATTGACATCAATGCTTTAACTGCTATAACAAACTGGGTTTTTGAAGGGTCGAAATCCATTTTCTTAACATCCCCCACTACCTCATTAAATCTCTCAGGATTAAAGTTGAGTGACCTATGCTGAGCCGTAAGTAAGAACATAATATTGGAATCCGGCACGCCGTGTTGTCTCAAAATTTCAATGTTGCGCAATGAAGTAGCACTGTGACAGCGCACTCCAACCTCAGGAAATTGTTTAAAGGCCGCCATAAACTTATCATTTGAATGGAAGAAACTCTTTAAAAAATTGAAAAATGGTATGATTTGGTTCTTCAAGCTCCGTTTCACTATTGTTGGGCTAGTGGACAATATCTTGGCGAGCTCGGTGCTGGAAATGCCAGTGGAGTAAAAGAATTCGAATTTGGGTAAAAGGGTTTTGTTGGGATCCGCTACGAGAAGTCTTGGGACTTTTCTGATGAGAGATGAGATCTGGGTTTCGCTGAATCCATGCTTCTTGAAGAAGTTGAGAACTGAATCTGGTTTGTCTAGGGTTTTAAAATTGACTTTTTTGGAAGCTGAAATAGCAGTTTCTGGACTCAACCCACATGAATTGATGAAGTAATTGAGTGTAAATGAGTGTTGATTTGTGGAAGTTGAAATGGATTTGAGAGATGAAAAGAGTGGATGGGTTTGAAGGCCATACAGTTTATGGATTGTTGAATCTAAAACAGAAAAGCATCTAAAACGAACATGTGTTTTACCGTATATAGAAATCAACTTACCCGATCGTTAATGTTAGGTGCTCTTCAACCGAATCTCCTTCTCTAGGGTTTGACGATGAGTTCTCTTTGGCCGATGCAAGCTTAAGACCGTAGAATACAGATTAACAGACAATAAACGACGACGTTTGGTATATCATTGCTCCTTTTATTTACTACTCTCTCTTCTTTTATCCATATTTTGAATAAGAAGGTATTTTCATCTGAAATTAGGACTTTAATAAATTAATTAATAATATAACATTTAGTTTTTCTATATTCTCAACAACTCTCCGTGTTCTTCCTTTTATTTTAAGCGTATTTATTTCTAAATTTTTATATTTTATCTTTTCCTTTTTATTAACCCTATTTACTTACTAATTTTAATATGTGACGAGGCCGCTTGTATACGCCAAAATAATGTAGTGAATGTGCGGTTCAAGAAAAGCCTTTTAGGTCAAGTTTAAATTTATAAAAAGCACTACCACCATTACTAGTAACGTAGCAAGAGTAAGTAGGGATCGTCCCAAGGGATTATACGTGTTGGATTTTACTTCGACTCTAGTGTATCAAAAGATTGCAAATGAGGGTTGGGTCGGTTGATTACTTTAGAAAACAATTAAATTAAAATGCAATTAAAGTAAACTAGTGAGAGATAGAGATTTAAGAAATATGAAGAGAGGTCTTAGGGTGTTGGAATCACCACTAAGCTCATGTAATTAACCACTTGTTTTCCATTAATGGGGAATACATTATTGCAATTTAGATGTGGCCAAAAATATAAACACAATTTGCATGTAAAAGTGTGAACTATCCAATGGAAGAGTAAATTATATACCTAACCAACAAGTAAACTAAGTGTAGAACAACCCACTAAGACAAAAACATAATTCATCAATTAATTAACAAATGAGTCTAATGAGAGCACACATCAATCTAGAGAATCATGGAATTTGCAATAATAAGCTATGGAATATCAAATCAAGTATAGATTGTCTACCTACCTATATGCATGAATTAAATTGTAGAATAACCCATCAAGTATAAGAATAATCCACCAAATTAATTGACAAACCCATTCAATGAAAACCATGCTTAACCATCACTAAATCCTTAATTAATCACACATAGACATACAACTAATATAGAGAATCTAATGTAGAGATCAATTATTAAATAATCACACATAAGACAACATGTAATTAAAATAGAGAATCGTAAAGAAGAATTAAATCAACAATCACAAGGCTAACCACTAATCAGAACAATATATATATAAACCCCCAAAAATAGATATACAAGGGTTTAGATTACACAAGACTTAGGACTCATCCAAGCTATTTTTCGTCTTGTGTACATTCTTCCATGCATTTTTCAATCTCTATTCTTGTTACCATCATTAGGTCCTAGCATATGATTTTCTGCATTTTCATCTCAAAATTAGGTATTTGGTGCCAGTTCGATTGATCACAAGTGTCCATTCGATCGATCGAACCTCTTTGCAGTCAATTCTTTGCAGAAATCAGCTCTCTGTGTATCGTGCGAACTTTCTTCTAGATCGATCCAATTATTTCTCGATCGATCCAGTTATCCCTTCGATCGATCTCAGTTTTATACTTAGAAATTTTTTGAATCTCTGCATATTTCAGATCTCTGTGTATCGTTCGAAGTTGTCTGCAGGTTTTCACATCTTGGATCGATCGAGTTTGGATCGATCATCCTTAGATCGATCACAGCTTTACCCCTTTGACCTTTTGACTTTTTCTTCTTTCTATTTTTATTTTATTTTTCATTTTCTTTTACTTTTGTTATTTTCTTTTATTTTATTTACTTACTTTTCTCTCAAAAAAAAAAAAGAAAAAAAAAAATTCTCTCTTTGCATTATTTATTTTATTGCATCTTTACTTCTTGTATTTTTATTTACTTGTCTTTTTATTTTTGTTTGTGTACATACTTGTTTTGTCTAAAAAAATAATTGAAAAAAAAAAAAATCTCTCTTTGCATTATTTATTTCATTGCATCTTTACTTCTTGCATTTTTATTTACTTGCCTTTTTATTTTTGTTTGTGTACATACTTGTTTTGTCTAAAAAATAATTGGAAAAAAAAAAAAAAACAATCTTTCAAAGTGGCATTCCATCTTGCTAGAGACATTAAACTTAGCAATCATTGTGCATATTTCTTGCATTTGGTTTCATTGTACATACTTTCATAAAAAGAAATATATAAAAAAATTTCACCATTGCGCCCTTTTGTGTAGTCATGCATACTTTATGATTTATATTGGGTAATCTCTTATATCTCTCTTTCATATTGTGCTGTATTGTCTTAAAATACTTGAATTACTTATCTTATCCCATTTAATATTTGATATGAGTTTGCTAGTGTGGTTATTCAAGTAGGTTGTTGATTCTAAGTTTGGGGGAGACCTTTTTCATATTAGATCATTACCGGGCTACATACTTTTTTTTTCCACCACGGTATATTCTTTCCATCTTTTCCATTATTCTCATTGCACATTGAGGACAATGTGCGGTTTAAGTTTGGGGGTAAGGTGACTTTGTTGCATTTTACTTAAAGTTGAACTTTAAATGCATGATTGAGATTTGAGATTGATGTTAGCGATGATTTTGATCTTTTGAGGATCATGATATTTAAAATTTAAAAATGGCTTGACTTAAGAGTCCAATACTCCTTATATGCCTTGTGGATGCCATTTAGGAGTAAATTTTTCAAAAAATTGATATCTTTCTTGCACTTGTGATCCATATCATCTTGATTCTACGATTGTTTTAAGATTTACTCTAGAATTCTACACTAACACAGACGCACACTAACATTCATTTGTGGGGTAAATGCTTTGTTGACTATTGATTTGGTTATATCCCAATTGAGCTAGTAATGGATTGAAAGCTTTCATTCTTGATAAAGGTGGATAACAAACCCTTTTCATTGAGTAGTCGGGATTCTAGTCTCATTAAGCATTGAATTTCTCGCGCCGAAAGATGGAAGGCCCAAACTCTAGGTTAATAATAATAAAATAAAATAAAAAAAGAAGAAGAAGAAGAAGAAGTTGCAAAAGTAATAAAAAGCGAAGACTTCTCCCAAAAGGTGAGAAGTAGGAAATGATTAGATGGAGGTTGTTTTGATTTGTAGCCTAGTTGGTTTGAGCTTGTAAGCTAAAGCCATCCGATTTGGGAGTCATTGACCTAATGCTCGACCTCATGAATCACTAGAAAGCTTAATAGATCAACACATTGCACTATACTTACATCTTTGATCCTTAAGGATTGATAAAAAAAAATAAAAAAATAAAAAAAATAAAAAAAAATCGAGTGAAGAATAAGCGCACCTAGATCAATAAAACTTTAACAAAAGGTCCACTATTTGTCTTGATGATCGGTACTAGATTTGTGTGCTAGTTTGAGGGTAAGGATGTGATCATTTCTTTAGTTGACTTAGATAGCAACATATTTGATGTCATTTTACTTAAAAAGGATTCTAGAGTTGTTTTGATTTGCATGATCATTTTCTTGATGTGTGGAGGACCATATTTGCTTGTTTGATGTTGAAATTTTGGGAGATTGCTTGGAAATGGTTGAAAAATTGCATACTTGAGATAATTTTCTTCCAATACTTGTTTGCAATATTGGTTCCTCTTTTGTGAGAATGAGCTTAATGTTTGTGGGTATCATTTCTAGAACCCTCACGAGACTTTACTCGTCTACTAGGGGTAACCTAGGGGTTTAAAAGGTTTGTTGCATGTGCTAAATGTAATCGTGTTCCCTATGAAAGTGGCGTTATCATTTATTACTTTCTAGTTCATAGTTGTTCAGTTGTTTATTTCATTCCTTTACTTCGTAGTTCATTGCTAGGGACTAGTAATATTTAAGTTTGGAGGTGTGATGAGCGCTGAAAAGTGCGCATTTAAACCCCTTAAGCTCGAGTATTCTAAAACCTTTATCTATCTTATTTTTTCGTTTTAGACTAATTTCATGTTGTTGCCCTTTTCAGGTGCTTATCCCCAAAATAAGTCAATTCAGCCAAATTAAAGCATAAAAGAAGCAATCTCAAGCTAAATGGAAGAAATGAGCAAAGTGGAAGCAAAGTGGTTGAAAACAGCAAGATTCGATTGATCAGACCAAGCCCAGATCGATCTCACAGTGATCGATCCAGCCTCACCAAGATGGATTAAACCCCTTATCCTTATCCTCAAGAATTTCCATCTTCGATCGATCCAACTTTCCTTTCGATCGATCGAACTTCTTTGATCTTATCCCCACCTACCACTTTATTTTTTCCTAAAATATCCCAAAAATATCTCAAATTTGTCTTATTCCAAAAAGGCGCCGCCATACTCTAATTGATCTGGCCATAGTTCGATTAATCTCATCAGAATTCGATCGATCGAACCTCCTAAAGTTCAAAGGAAAATAGAGTCCAGCTCATTAAAAGATGGCTCGTGGTGCAATCATTAAAAGGGGCGCTAGTGCACGAGACCTGACCATTGGGTGTGATACTTGAGCTACCTATATAAGGATTTTAAGCCATTTTACACATATATAATCTTAGACATTTACACAATCTTGAAGAGGAGACTAGAAATTAGAGATATATACACCATTTGGGAGTTTTTCCATTCATCTAGGGTTTTCATCAAGAAGAAGATCATTCCTACCATGGAGATGGCCCTTGAGGGTTGGATGACTACATCAATGAGTGGCTAAACATCTTCTTGGGGCTAGAGTTAGCCCTAAGCATGCCTTCTAGATCTTGATGTTTTGTATTTTAAGTGGATTTGTTTTGTAATCTTGTATTGACATTTGATTTATATATGAATCTTTTTTCTACAATGATTTATGTTGTTTAATACTTCTAATTGATCATTTTATTCTACTCATATGTCTATGTATGCTAGAATAGATGTTCATGTATTTATCTCTAGGTTTTGTGTTATTAATACATGTCTATGTGTGTTGATGCTATGAATCTAGAGATTGTCAAGGCATGGTGCTTTAATGGAATACTCTTGTGGTTTGTTTGATGGTTCATGCTCATTTCTTAATGGATTATGCCTCTACCTTAGTTTAATTAGTTTAATTTTTATGTCCTTAGCTTAGTTGTAGTATAGTTGCTTTACTTT